AAGAAAAACTCCACAGCAGGCAAGCTATTAACCTCAGCAGCTGCTTGGAGAAAGGAGGCAGAGAAGAGGAAGGGGGCATGCCTTTTGAGTTGGGACAAGACGGAGGTCGAAGAAAAAGAATAGTTGGGCAGACCCAACAGAAACTCATGGTAACTTATAGGAACTAGTCTAGAAAGCTGGAATTCTGGGAAGGAAAAGTATATATTCTCAATCAAGGGATAAATGTTCCTCTTATCTCTTTAGCATGCATTAAAATAAGCCTGCCTCCCTAGAGGGGTACCATAACCAGGTCATTGTAATGCCCAACTGTAAAATTCAGAGATTTCATTCTCCTGACCAAAAGGAAAATAGTTCTCTTAATGGGGCTTTATGGATATTATTATTATTGATGTTCTACTTATAATAACAAAGAAATGGACACAACTTCGATATTTACCTACTAATGAATGGATAATGAAAGTGGAATTTTATTCAGTTGTAAAGACAATGAAATTATAGAATTTGAAGGAAAATGAATGAAGCTGTAAAGTATTATATTAAGTGAAGTAACTCAGGCTCACTAAGAAAAATTATGTTCCCTATCATACACAGATTCTAGTTTCCAGCTTTTATACATGTGTAGGTATATGAATATAATATAAATATAAGTCATTCAAATAGTAAAGAGATAGTAAGAGGGAAAAGGTGTTATAAAAAGGAAAACATTGGAATAATATAACATTTATGACAGTTAAGAAAAATAATGAGAGGGGACATGTGCAGTGACAGGGGGTGGAGAGATCTGGAGGGGTGTGGGAGAATCACCCCAAAATGTATGTACAAAAATGGCATATGGAAATATGACACATTTATTATAATTTTAAAAAGTATTTATACTATATTCTTATTGTAATTTCTTCTGTTGAAAGGTATATCATAATCATATTTTCACATGATATTTGTGACTATATAGGGACAATATTTTTAAGTCTCATGCTCTTATTCGGGTACAAAAAATTTATTAGAAATGTTCTCTCAGATGTCAAGTCTCAGAAATACTACACAGAGACAGCAGGTTATCCTTTCCTTAGGAAGAGGACACTTGAAGTATAATCCTTAAGAAATTTATTATTTTCATAACAAAAGTATAATGGTGTCAGGGTCTGGCCTAGACATAAATTATTTCAAGAACCAGAGTGGGAATATGGGAATAATTGAGACAGAGTTCACATGGTAATAACGGGAGAGAGTCTCATAGTTCATTCAAATCCTAAAGAATGCCTATGTTTATTATCCAAACATTTTTATATCAAAAGGTAAACTGAGGGGGAAGTTCATTAGAATTCTATGTCCTGGGTAGCAGGGGAGAATGAGTTAGGTCATGTCTGCAACTATGGCTGCTCTGTCAAGTAGACTGAATTAACATCTCATCACCATCCAATCTCCTAAATTATAATAGAAGGAGCAGAGGGACATCAGCATATCCTGTCCCTTCATTTAGGATGGCATCAGGTTGTAAGCCTAGGTGACCACCTTCTGTGTGGCAAATACAAATTGTGTCCTGAAGGTCACTCAGAATTCTGGCCAACATACAATGTGGAAATACGGGCTGGTACAATACTGCCCCTATAATGCTCTCTATCTTATTAATTTTAATAAAACCTGCACTTCTGCAACAGGACAATTATCATGTCTGCCGTAGGCAAAGACTTCTTCATTTAGCTAAATTTACCTTTCTTTGTAAATAGCCATCCTAATTATGTGAGCTCCTGTCTTAGGATTCTGAGTAAAAGAAGCTTCAAACGTTTCTGACTGCTGACCTCTGTGAAGAAAAAAGATTAAGGGACAAAAACCAAAAACACCTTTGGGCTCTGTATCTTGAAGCCAAACTTTCTAGTCAGGATAGATCATAATGTTTTATGAATAATCATGCTCCTAAAGCCTACATAGTCTCTTATTTAAAGGGGAGGAGGGTCGCCTGAGTTGAAAAGGTTTCTTCAGCTGGTATAAAGCACCTCTTAATTTTTTTACATTATATCAAAATATAAAATTCTTAATATATGCATTACACCTAAACATTTATAGGGTGTGTCAAACTTTTCTCAACAATAATGTTTTTAATGCATTATTAACATGCATTAATGTTATATGTCAATGTCATAATTCTAGAATGGGAATTAACAATAAATCCACAATTTAACATATCACAATCTTCTTAAATCCATATGAATCAAAAGACAAGGAAAGTTTTTCTGATAGGTGAGAGCACAAGGACTACAATGACACTGCTGTTACCAATACCAGTTCCTGTCTCTGGGCAGAAGTTAAACCCTTAGGATGTACCTGTCTTAAGTGAAGAGGGATTTCAGTCATTATATATTTTGTGTCTTTCTTTCCCAAAGGGGAAAGTTTAGGTCTATTTTTCAGATCCAATATTTTAAATGAGTTGTGTGTCCCCAAGATTAAAACAGTGAAATATTCAGTCTACATTTCAACGCCAAAGCAAACAAGATTCAGACTGTAAGCAAGTTGTAGTCATTGAGGTCAGGTCATTGCAGCAAAGCTTCTTGGTCTGTGTTCTGAGTGTCTGGAAGCAGCTCAGCGTCCTGTAGAAAAGAATGGCACCCTACAGTGTGAAGTGGTGGCAGCAAGCCAAGCACAGTGTATCAGTCACTCCTCTCTCTGGTGGTGGGGAAGGCTGCACCACGGTTTTTTTCTCAATCTCCTTTCACTCCAACTCTCCTGAAGGGCATTATCAGTTACTATGTCATCAGGTCTGCTGTTCTTCTGTTGGACTCATCAAACCAGTTGTTATGGAAGACATCTTGCATGATCTTCATCCTGGAAAAAACACATAAATGCCTTCTACCCCATGTTAATATAGGGTCTGGTTCTCTCCATTTTCCAGTACAAGGATCTTTCCATCTTTCTTTAGCAAAGGTGGTCTTTGTATTATTTGCCACAATCTGTCCACTGCTGATCACGCATGGACATCCATATTCAAGAAATTTAGTGTAAACAGTGCATGATTTAAAGCATTATGTGCCATTTGAGGATATAATTCTCCCGTTTTTATCTTTTGAACTTCTGTTTTCAAGGAGCTGTGTGAAAGGACACTTAAAAGAAATAACACGATCCCTCCTACACTTCCTGGTCATCCTCAGGGGCTATACTGCCCAATACCTCCTCTCTCTTCCTATCGCACCCAGCTTGCATCCACAACCCTCCCCCCC